ATGCTCTGTAAAAACAATCTTTTGTGGGGAACAGCAGAATATGTCAGCCGTGTCAGGCGGTCCAATTGGAGAGCAAAATCCGTTGTAACCTACCTCTCTTTCATTTTAGTTAAATATTTGATTTGATGACAGGTGACCTCATTTCAGGTTTGTATTAAAGCCATTTTTCAGGGAGCGACATTGCACGAAACAAGCAAAAACAGCTCCTAATTGTTGTGTATTCCGCTCATTTTCCGCAACACAATGTACGGAGCGGTGTACTTTTATATTAATTTGTGAACCCTTGGTTATGAGACAAGTGTAGTAATATTATGCAATTGTTTGTAACAATTTTATAAATTGCAATTGAATTAATTTAACATTAAATATATTATTAAGATATGTTAGTGGTAGATAAGTGGTTTATTATGTTCATTACAAAAGTGCATTAAAACTTTCAATTTTTAAAGGCAGCCTACGAAAATATTCGCACTGAAATTTAAAACCATTTGATAACTTATAAATTAACGCATATAAACAGTTGGAGTTTGTTTTATTTAATTTTTATAATACTATTTAATATATAAATATTATCAGCATTAAAACAGTAGCAGACCCAATGGCACAATATCGCAAAAGCCATTATATTTATTTAAGTACCAAAATTGTCTACTGACTTGTTTGATTAACAAGAATTAGCGGGAACGTTCATGTTGAGTGTTTCTGTATGGTAAGGCTCACAACGACTTACACAGTGGCAAATCTCGAATTTGCTATAATAATGTCAATATAAAGGTATCTATGTGACTACTATCTATCATGACAGTAAACTCCTCACATTTAATAAAAATTATCAATATTCAAGTGTTATTTAAATTATTGACTTCATTTTCATTTCATTCAAAGTTAAATTAACGTACTTCACAAGGAACGGTGCACCGTTGGTCGTGTTCTGGTCATATTTGCAGTTGTTAGCGTGTTCCAAAGCACTTTTCAGTGCGTGCTAGTGATTTTTTTATGTTAAAAGGGCATACACTTTCGCTTTACTAATATTGTCACTCGCACCGCAGCCTACCCTCACCCAATTCTCTATCCCGTGGAGCCCTGGAACTCACCGACAGAAATATAACAACACTAAAAGGTAGGTAGTATAATTTTACTATGATATTCTGTAAAGTGAAGGTTATTTTCCCAGACGAGCGCTCCAATTTGAGCGGGTTATCTGCTATGACCTTCCTCTCATATTTTTTTTTATGGCCAGGTAGGCAAATGACTCAACCCCACCTGATGTTAAGTGATGATAAAGTCCAAAAGCGAAGATAGCTGGTACAGCAGTTATAAACTGCCACACCAGCCATTCTCACTTTGCCGGCCTGCAGAAATACTACTTCACGCCTCTCTTAAAAGACCCCATATTGTAGGATCTCTCTTATAAAATAACACATTTTGGTCACCCATTCTACGACTAGCCATTGCGTAAATTGCTTAACTTCTTCACTATCGTGCTGATCTCTGCACCATTAACCACACCCGATAATAAAATACAATAATTTATAAAATCACTCAAGTATTAACAAAAACTCTTGCTAAAACATTAGATATTGAACTCCGCATAAGGTAATATATCTCAATTTCTCGTTACTTGAAAGACAACACCGGTTCCCTCATTTTATCTCGTATTCGACCCTTTGCCACTGATACACAATAAATTTCCTTTATCCCCAGTTCATTCACAGCATCTATCGTACAACGAAAATCCTTCTGGGTTACTGCACGGCGCCACAGTAATACTGTTCTTAGAGAGAGCGGCTAAGAATATATATCGATAATTCGATAAACAAAGGCCAACTCAAAGCGGTTTCATTCTTTTGTGCCTAAATAAATAAAGGCCACTTGTACCAACATCTTTAAGTGAATTTTAAACAAATTCATGTAAAAATCTTTAAAACCCCATTCCATCTTTATTTTGAAATCGAATGGTTTACAAGGATGAAGTGATTTGCTAAATTGGATTAGATGTAAAATCTTATATTTGACTAGTGGGTGTCTGGGACTTCGTATGGATGGAAAAATTGCTTATTTATATTAAGGGCGATCTTGGTACTCTATAGAAACTTTCTTCCTTCTTAGCGCACACCAACATCATAAAAGTATGCGTCAAATTTCTGCTCTGTTCTGTGATGCTCCGCCCTTACTGGCTGTAGCGTGATGTTATATAGCCTTCCGCGATAAATGCACTATTCAACAATAAAAAGACAAATCGGACCAGTAGTTACCAAATAATCAAATAAACTCTTCAACTTCATAATATTACTATATATAGATTTTTGATGTAAGTGGATCGTCTGTTGATTGTGTTTTTCATGAAACATTACTCAGGAAACTAAACCACTATGGATTTAGAGATACCGATCTGGATCTTATTGCATCATGCCTGAGGGATAGGATTCAGAGGGTTCACATTGATGGCAATAAGTCTCTAGATTCGCCGTTTAAGATGGGTGTTCCACAGGGCTCAATCCTTGGACCTTTCTTATTTTAAATTTATATTAATGATTTACCTTACTATGTAAGAGATAACCATGAGATGGCATTGTTCGCGGATGATGCATCACTTTTATTTGAACTCAAACGCAAGGAAACAGTTATTGACGACGTGAACAGTTGTATCTATAAGATAGTCTACTGGTTCAATGTTAATAATTTTGTTACTTAATGAAGGAAAAACGAAATGTATGAAATTTATATTACCTAATGTAAAACAAGTAAAAATCAGTATGAATGTAAAGGATAGGAATGTGGGCCTTGTAGACACCACAGTATTCTTAGGGATTACTTTAGATTCTAAGCTTCAATGGGGCCCACATATTGATAAATTGTCAAATAGTCTTAGCTGTGCAGCATATGCCGTAATGAAAATACGCCAGTTAATGGATGACGGCCAGATTTTTGTACTTTAGTTATTTTCATAGTGTAATGTCGTACGGAATTTTATTGTAGAGAAACGCCGCCGACATTAAAACTATTTTTGTGCTGCAGAAGAGAGCTATTCGATCAATTGATCAATTGATAATCTTAAAGTTAAAGAATCATTTAGAGATAAGTTTAAGGAATTGGAATTTGACATAATGACGGTCGCATCACAATACATATACGAAAATGCATTACTTCTAAGAAAAAATACTAATATGCTTCTTAAAAACAGTAATGTTCACATACTTAATACAAGAAACAAAAATAAACTAACGCTAATACAATAAAATCCCAAGCAATCCAAGAGTTAACCATTAATAAATTCAAAGATAGTATAAAAAAGTACTAATTAAAGAAGCGTTTTACAAAGTGTTGGATTATATTACAGGTAAAAATGCTTGGGTTTGAACTATTCCAATCATTCCAACAGGTTTTCTATATTCAATAAACCATGATTGTATTGACGTTGTAACAACAAAATCATTTGTAAATGTTATGTAATGTTGTAATGTAATGTTAAAATGGATGTATTGTACAACTCCTTTGAATCGTCCATTTTTTCCCCTACGACTCGTTATTGGACATATGTTTTAACTGCGGAGAAAAACGAGCGAAAAAAACTACACAATATTAAAAGTTGTTACATTATACTTTGGTGGTAGGAGAAAAAATGGATGATTCAAAAGAGTTGTACAATACATCCATTTTGAATAAAGATATATTGATTTCTGATTTCTGTATTTTTTTTGACTTTGAAAAATACTTGTTATAAATAAATACCTACGTATCGCACAAAAAGATACAGAAGAGGAAAGCTCAAATTTGCGAAAATGGGAGTTTTGGGGGATAAACCTAACAAACACCAAGTCTTACAATTTCTGAATGATAAATTGCAATCTAGCTTTAACGGTTATATTTTTTAATAAAGCACTGATTTAATTACCTAAATATCTAACAGAATATATCAAATCACGAAAACCGCTAGATATTTAGTTACACATTTCTATGATTAATTGCCAATTAACTCACATTTCTACAAATAAACACCTTTAAACTATGAACTCGGCTTACATTAGGTTTATAATATGTAGAATTTCATTAATATAATTGTATAGCAGACAGTGAAAATGTTTGAGACGTAATAAATACCTTATTACATTACCTCTGTTTACTGGTGTGTGACTGACATCCATTAGTAACAGTTACCGAGCAGTTAACATCAATCAGAAAATACGATCTCTTAACATATTTATGATGGTAATATGAAATATTATTATCTTAAGACCTTTGCCAATGCGTGGAAAATTACTGAAACAAAAATGGTTTCTTAAATATTTTTCCAATCATTCAATGCTCTTTTTATACAAAAAAAAAATAAAAGCTTTTATCATCGTGGTAGTAACAGAAACATGTATTTTTACATTTTTAAAACCTCTTACGAGTAAAGTCCACGTTCACAAAGCCATGCTTCATTTAAAATGGCCCAAAAATGTAAACACAACCGTCAAATAAGTAAAACAAACTGAATTTTAAAGTCCAGGCATAGTATTTGCAAATACTGTAAATAGTCTTAAATGTGCGTGGCCAGTTCCGGAATCTTTTGGTGCGCTCTTAGCATCATTTTTTATGTTAAAAGGATGCCAAACAAGTTTCTGGCCCGCCTAATAGTAAAGAGCCACCACAGCCTACAGATATACATAGCTTGCTAAAACAAAAATCACTCGCGCCGTTGCCTTCCCTGACTCCGTCCCCTACCCCGTGGACAACACCACCAAAAGGTAGTGTTATTTTACTATAGTCTTTTGTAATGTGGAGGTTACTTGCCTAGACTCGGGCGCTCCAATTCGAGCGGTAAATCCGCTATGCGCTACCTCTCTTAAAAATAATTAATAAGTTAAGTAGATAAAAACAGATTCATACTTTTCTCTCATTCGTAATAAATTCGGCACTTCGAACTGGAAATAAATGACAAACTATATTTATTTAACCAAATTGAGATCTTTAATTAACCAATTGCTTATTTTGTTTCAGATAACACGCCAACAAATATGTCAGCCCCGACAACAGACAGCACAGAAGCAATCACGAATTCCGGATATGGAAGTAGTGATGAGACTGCCAGCCTTCTTGTATCGGGACCCTCCGTAACCGTCATAGTACCAAGTGAAAATAGAACTGTAAAACCCGTATTACAAAGGCAAGATTGCACAACCCATTTGAGGCCACAATTATCAGGTGGCCCTGGAAGTGAAGAGAGTGCAGCATCTGTCAGAATGGAAGAAGGGGCTGCGAGAAGTGTTCCCGATATAGAACTACAATGTCGCGACCAACAAGTTGACCGGCCGCAAACATTAGTCTCTCCAATCGCAACTTGCTCACACAGAGGCTCAGTAACCACCTGCCAGTTAGTTCCCCAAGCGTACGCCAGATGTCGCGTCTGTGAACGAAGGCAGTCAACAGCACCAATGTCGGCGTTGCAACTAGCGCGCTCTGTGTCCAGAGAAAGTGTACGATCTGCTTTACACTATCCTTGTGGTTGTAGTTCACTACACGCTGTCAGTACCTGTCCTGTCATTCAACCTCCAGCCTTATTGTTACCGGCGACAAGTACTAGAATCATCCGACAGAGTTCACAGCCAGAGTCTAGCGCATGCGCGGCGCACTGCCCTCACCACGCCCATCACCACCCTAGCGCCTCACTGCGGCAACTGAGAGAACCAGGGGATGGAATCGCGGGAATCGCAGCCGACTCGCTACGTATCAACGGGGGAATGCGACCATTTAAACAGGTAAGTTAGTCCCTTCGTAGATGGCGCTAGTTTTGAGAAATGCGAGCTGTAAGTTTGTGTCGCGTTTGGCTTTGCCTCATTTTTTAAAGTAATGCCGCATTGGCCAAAGATTCGAAAGTAACAAATAACTTTGAATTATTTAGGCTAATAAAGTTATTTTTGGAATATAAACATTTATTTATATATTTTGGCTTTGCATAAATATGACGACATATTAAAAATATTTTGCGTATGCAATAACCAAACCAGAATTAATTTTAATATAAGATTAACTTGTGAATCACATTTTGCTTTGAGAAAGCAATACATAAAAGACTCGAGTTTTTGCCAAGACCTGCCTTTGCCAAGACTTGGCCATTAAATTTGTTAGAGCTTTGGCGCCCTAGCGGTCATTTAGCAATAGAATGGCGTTAAATGTTATGGCTACGTTAATGTGATTAGTTCGCATGACGTAACAGCTGTTTCAACGGTAAGTGTTTAAAACATCATCATTCAATACATAAACACCATTAGACATCATATCCATTATGCCCTACCATTAATTTACACTGTTTTAATTTGATAAAAGAAAATTTTAAATTTTTGCAGTCGTAAGTGCTGTGTAAGGGTTTTGAGACGGGATTCCTTGCAATCAAATCTGTCAATGATTTGATTTGTTTTCAACCTACAGGGGCTGCTCCTCTGTCCGCAAACCCTGTCGCAGACTCGCCGGGCCCGACTGAGGCGCGCGTTCACTGAAGCCACGGGGGATACGGTTACCTACGTTAAGACGGTGGGATTCAAATTATTGGAATTATGCACCGCCAAAATTCTGCTATCGATTGTGCAATCTAAATCATAAATATGCCAAACATACACCAATAAAATCATATTTGACTAAGCAAAGTCAATATTAAAGAATTTGACAGCACTACTGTTCTCATGAATTAACAGAGCTTAACGCTAGAGAAATGTAGATATTCTGAAGTACGCTCATTTATATGAATTTGGTTTTTAAAATTAACACAATAGAAATAGGTCATAGTAGTGTGAATACTTACATTGCAGTAGATTGTACAATCGATGAGCAGGTAAATGTGGATTTCACCAAAGTAATATTTAGTTGGCGAATGTGTCGTCCCTACAGCTTCGAATAGAGAGAACACAGTTAGATCCCCCCGCCCCCACTACCCAAACATCTTACCTAGCACCAAAAATGCTTCTCACGAACAAATTGTTTTCAATACATCACAGTTTCTTACAGAAATTGTCATCACATCTTGCACATTTATTGGCAAATACGAGGATCGCTTCAAAATGTTTTTGGTTCTAATCTAAGCCATAGTTTATTCCATCACAACTCCTCGTGACATCATAACTCATATTTTCATTTGTTTTCGTTTTGTTTTCGCTTCAAGGAACCCATTATTCAAGCAATTTACACAGCACCTACACTGCTATTAGTTGTTCATACCAACACGGTCAATGGAAATGATGTTGCACCCTAGAAGAAATAGTTTGATTGCACAGACAATGCTTCTAGTAAAAAGACAGCGTTTCTACATGCTACATGATGTTCATAAGTTTATACTACCTATTTGAAAATAAGATATTACAGTCCCAAATTAATGTGAAATAATGAGAATGAATATCACTGTAGCTGGTTTAGTTTTAGAGGTAATTCATTATTCGTTCAGTACAGTGGACTACTAAAGTAACAAAACTCATATTCCCAACAACGTTTACCATCCTTAGTAACATAATTTTAAGCAAACAATAGTGAGTCATATATTTCGTACGTACTACATCTAAATAATACGTGATGCTAGTATCTTGAACTTTATTAGTTGTGAAGCTGAACTCTCCCTCCAGAGAGAATTCACACCAGTAAATTTTCCTCGAAGTAATTTATTTAACCGTTATCCTTTAATGTATGAACAGAAAATTAGCAATGTATCAAGGCTTATTTTAACGTGCTGCATTTATATTAAGCTTCCCATAAAATTTGTAACAGTCAAGTGCCCATTCGTTGATAAAATGACGCTTTCACTAGATTGGAACGAATATTGAGCACATTTCGAGGCTTTTGCTTAGTAAAGCAATCGTGATGTTGAAGATTATTCTCCATCAATGCACCTCTTATTTTCTGCCATGATAAGGATATTCTTCCACCCGATGATAGCTGCAAGCATATAATAAAACACAAAAATAGTTGTATGATTTATTTTAGCTCAGATGGAACGTCTATTATTCTTTAATGTAAAATAAAATAAGAAGCGATTCAGACAGAGATTCCTACGTTAAGTAATTACTCTTACATGAAGCGATGCTCTATTGCATGAATACTAAAGTCCCTCATAAAAATGTATGGGAACTCGAACCCTGCCAAGCCAGTGAAAATCGGTAACATGAAATTAGGAACTCAAATAATCCAGCTTTAATGCAACATAACGCACGAACGCAATAAGTTTTTAGAGATCATTACCCTTTTAGCTGGTCTTTCTTTACTGTGCTGTCCAACTTCTTGAGTATTCACGTTCATTGTAGTAAATTAAGACCAATGTTATAGTTTTTCTCATATAGATTTTCTATTAAAAGAATGCCAAGTTACTAGCTAATTTTCACTTTCTCCAGTCTTAGCCAAATATTCATCATCATCATCGGCCTACTAATGTCCCCACTGCTGGGGCACAGGGCTTCCCTAAGGATGGAATAGGGAAATTGAGCCATGACCCGCCACGCGGGCCCAGTACGGATAAAGTGCCTTCCGAAGCACGGAGGAAATCGAGATAGAAGTTTTCGGTTACTCATCCAATGACCGACCACTGTTAAAGTTGCTTAACTTCAACCATTGCAGCCGAACGCGCTAACCATCTGCGCCATCGAGCTCCTCAGCCAAATATTACCTTCGTCATTTCTTCTATTATGAAAATTATGCCCTGATTGCCGTTATAATGACGGACTTTATTAAATTTCTAAGTCTTGTGGTTGAACCCGACTGATAACACAATATTTTATTTATGATTATTAAAATACTTCTATTCTTATTACAGAAATGAATATTCATAATTAGTAACAATATCCAAATCTATTAAAGTGCAGCAACAGATATTACTAAGAACGACGTTAGTTTTTATTAAAGATAGCAATATAATGCGATTTATGAGGTGCTTCAAAGAACTATAGCAACGCCCGTACTGGTAATCCTTCCAGCTAGACACCATATAATCAACTATTGGAATCTTGCCCGTACTCGATGTGCACTCATCTGCGTCCCATGTTCTGTTATTATGGTCTAGATTGCAATATTTTAAGCCTATTTCTTCTCCAACGCCTCTGTTTTCAAAATCGGCTAATGGCGTTTCGCAATGTTGGATTTTGTTTGGGTGAATGTAACTTAAATTTCACTTGGATACTGCCAAAGCTGTTTGCGACCGCGCTGTCAACTGAACATTAAGCCTCTTGAAAGAGGTTATTTAGGTATAAATGTAAGGGTGGAGAATAGTGGAGATGTAACGAAAACTTCGTTACTTAAGGTCTATATTACAAAAATTAAATACAATTTCAAGATTTCCGAAGAAAAAGATTTTTTTGCAAACAGTTGCGATAGTGATGTGAACAAAAATGAGCCATTGCTGGACGCCATTATTCTGAGATCCCGCCGCTAAATTCCGCTACCATCTGGTTTTTTTAATGAAATTTTAAATTAATGATTAGTGAGTATACAATGCATCTTTTAACTTGCAACCAAGATTTATCGTATACAGCAAATAGAAAACTTCAATTTGGATAAAAATAAAAATAAAACTGATGGGTGTAAATAATCAACAATAACGGACCTGTTTACACCTGGCAACCCTAACGTTGAGATTGAGAGCTGGTAACCATGGTTTTGTAATTCTTTACATCATTTATTTTTAGAGAGGTAGGGCATAGTGGTTTTTCCGCTCAAATTGGAGCGCCCGTCTGGGGAAGCCATCGCCACCTTACAGAACACCGCAGTAATATAACACTACCTGGTGAGTAGGATTCCAGGGCTTCGCAAGGTAGGAGATTGGGTTCAGGCCGACAAGGTGAGGATGGTAATAGTGGCTCACCTTCCGCCGCAATCTACCTTCGCGACTGAACTCTTCTAACACTGTGAGCGCTATGCAATTTACGTAAATAAATGGATGTCTCTAAATTTAATGCGGCTGTTTTTTTAGGCAACCCGTTACCGTTGACGACCTCCGTGGCCCAGTTGTTTGTACGCCGGGTTTCAAAGTGTCGCCTACTCGAGGGGTCCCGGTATCGAATGCATCAGTCCACTGCTGTACATAGGCCTCTCCCATTGCACGCCATTGAGCCCAGTGTTGATTTATCTAAATTAAGTTTCATTATAAATCAGATGGCTACAGAATCGAGCTGCGGGATCTCGGACTATACTGAAAGATGTGAATCAACGAAACTCGTTATTTCCAGAAAAAAACAGTCTGGAAAATATTACATAATACTTAAAATATATTGTTGACAACGTTGAGGATGGAAACGCAATTTTAACTTGCTGCAATCTCTCTGAGTGACCATTTAACCAACGTAGATATCACAAGTAATAACCTAATTTCGGTGCATCACTACTCAAACTTGTAGGTGTAAACCATTGAGCATCCACTGAAGTCTCTCCACATTTTTAAAACAAAAGAAACTTAAAGAAAATATAACTAGAAAAAATTCCACGCGGACCAGGCAGCAGACGGGACTCGAACCCGCACCCTTCGCAATCCGGGCGAATGCACTGACCAATTATGCTACCGCGGCCCTCACGGACCGCGTCGAAATTCTTTCTAACTATTCTTAAGCTGCAAGGCAGCGCCATCTCTTCGCATTATAGGTAAACCCACAATGTCAAATGAATACTTTTACAAGTATTAAACATTTGAAAGAAGAAATAGCAATTATAGTTATAATTTTATTATTTTTAAAGCATGTAACTGCTTGATGTTTAAATCTAAAGAAAATATAACTAGAAAAAATTCCACGCGGACCAGGCAGCAGACGGGACTCGAACCCGCACCCTTCGCAATCCGGGCGAATGCACTGACCAATTATGCTACCGCGGCCCTCAGGGACCGCGTCGAAATTCTTTCTAGCTATTCTTAAGCTGCAAGGCAGCGCCATCTCTTCGCATTATAGGTAAACCCACAATGTCAAATGAATACTTTTACAAGTATTAAACATTTGAAAGAAGAAATAGCAATTATAGTTATAATTTTTATTATTTTTAAAGCATGTAACTGCTTGATGTTTAAATCTAAAGAAAATATAACTAGAAAAAATTCCACGCGGACCAGGCAGCAGACGGGACTCGAACCCGCACCCTTCGCAATCCGGGCGAATGCACTGACCAATTATGCTACCGCGGCCCTCACGGACCGCGTCGAAATTCTTTCTAGCTATTCTAAAGCTGCAAGGCAGCGCCATCTCTTCGCATTATAGGTAAACCCACAATGTCAAATAAATACTTTTACAAGTATTAAACATTTGAAAGAAGAAATAGCAATTATAGTTATAATTTTTATTATTTTTAAAGCATGTAACTGCTTGATGTTTAAATCTAAAGAAAATATAACTAGAAAAAATTCCACGCGGACCAGGCAGCAGACGGGACTCGAACCCGCACCCTTCGCAATCCGGGCGAATGCACTGACCAATTATGCTACCGCGGCCCTCACGGACCGCGTCGAAATTCTTTCTAACTATTCTTAAGCTGCAAGGCAGCGCCATCTCTTCGCATTATAGGTAAACCCACAATGTCAAATGAATACTTTTACAAGTATTAAACATTTGAAAGAAGAAATAGCAATTATAGTTATAATTTTATTA